GTGTGTGTGTGTGTGTGTGTGTGTGTGTGTGTGTGTGTGTGTGTGTGTGTGTGTGGTATTGCGAGTGGGGGTAGTTGGAGCCAATTTGGCGCAGCCGCCGTCTCCATTCGGCCCTGCCCCCATCACCCCAGCCCTCCACTCTCCTTGGACCCGGTCCCCGATACTCAAATACCTAATCTCCTCACCCCCACCTCCACCCAAGCTCCCCAGAACCGTCTCCCCGCGTCTCAGGGAGGAGGAGTGAGAATTAGCAAATCCCCCCACCAACTCCCCCAACCCCCATCCCCCCCCCCCACCCCGGCCCGGCCGCCTGCCCCAGCTCCCTTCCAGCCTCGCTCTCCATCCGCGGTCCTACCTGGGCCCGGGGCTGCGCTGGGGGCTCCATGGGGCGCGTCGCAGTGAGGGGGGCACTGGCCACTCACCTGGGACATCGGCCCGGGACCTGCAGAAAACAGGGCTCAGCGGGCAGGGCCGACCGTCCCCTCGCGCGAGCAGGGGGAGGGGGACGCACAGGGGGTAATCCGGCCGCAGGCGCGCGCCTTCCCCCTTTCGAGCGCGGCCACCGACCAACTCACTCGTGCAAGCTGCGCGCTACTCGCTCGGCCCGGGAGGATCACCGCGCGGGGGCTGCCATGCGCGCCTGCGGAGGGCGCCCCGACCGAGGGGCAGCTCGGCTCCCCGCCGCTCGCCCCGCGCCCCCTCCCCTCTCACTCGCTCCTTTCTCCCATTTCGGCGCCACCTCGCGCCGCTCGCCCCCTTCCTTCTTCCTTCTCTCTCTCCGGCCCCCTCGCTCCTCCCCCGCTCGCCTCTCCCCTCCCCTCTTCCCAGGCCCACCCTCTCCCCGCCCCCTCCTCGCCTTCCCCCGTCGCCCCCTCCCCCCCACGTCCCTTCCCAGCGCCCGGCCCGGCGCAGCCTGGGCCGGACACGTCTGTCCGCGGGGCGCCGCAGCCGGAGCCCCCACAGGAAGCCGACTCCGCGCGTTTCCTCCGCGACCTCGGAGCTGGGCCCCAGTCTCCCCAAATCTCCGCTCGCCCCCAGGCCCAGCGCCCCGAGGGGCCGCCCGAGGAGCTGCGCCTTCGTCTTCTCCTGCCCTCAACTTTGCAAAAGTTTGCAGAAAATTAGGAGAATGAGGGAGAGAAACCACTCTGGCCACAACCGCCTCGAGCCAATTGTCTGAATAATTGTGGCCCCAAATCTCGTAGTCCCAAAGATGGGAGTGATCAGGGTCCTTGGGCACCCTTCGCCCACCCCGTCGGTCTCCGCCCCGGGCCGGGGGCTCACAGACCTCGTGCCCACCCCGCCAGAAGCTGTCCGTCCGGGAAATCCGGTTAGTGACCATCTAGCCTCCCGCGTCCTGTAGGAGCCCCGAGCATCCCTAATCCCCCCAGCCCCGCCAGCTGTGCGTGGGAATTTGTGTCAGAAGACCAACTTTGGAGGCAAGGCGAGGTTGTCGGAGTTCAGCCCTTCTTTTGGCTCGAGACCGGAATCCGAGGCTTTCCAAGATGCGGGTGCTCGGCCCCTTCTCTCAAGGGGCCCCTCCAGGCAGGGACAGCCCGACGGCACATCTGGAATTGTGAGCTGGGTCCCTCCTCGGGGCCGTGGGGACAGGGAGGAGCCGCCGTCGGGCAGCTCGAGGGGGGCGAGGACCCTCAACGTGACCCTGGGGCCAGGCCCCCGAGAATGGGGGGAGGGCTTGGAGCCTGCGGCCCGGCTGCTGGGGCTGGGCGCGACCGTGGGATGATCCTCAGGTGGGGCCGCTGCTGGGGTGCCAGCGTCTCGGCCACACTTGACCCAGGCCGCCTCGGAGCCGAGTCTGGGCGCCCCACCACGCCGGCCAGGGAGCAATTAGGGCGGCGGCGGCGGCGGCGGCGGCGGCGCCGGGCCAGTTCCCCAAGTCCCGCCTTCCAGCCCGGGCCTGAAGCAGGGGCCTGGGACGCGGGGGGCCGAGTGAGGGACTCGGTGTCTCTCCTTGGCCTCCTCCAGCCCCCGCAGTCGCTACTTACGCCGCTCCAAGGCCCCTGCGGCGCCGTCGTGGCCAGGACGGGCCGCCGCGCTTTTGCCACCCGCGGCCGCGTCCCTGCGATGAGCCCAGGTGGCTGCGGCCGGAAGGGGGGCTCCGGGGGCCGGGAGGCAGGGTCCCGCTGCCGGGGCCGGGCTGCCTGCTGCGCTCCCCCCCCCACCCCCCGGCCTGGCGCCCCTGGAGCCAGCCTCGATCCGGCTGCTGTCTGGGAGCTCCGGAGAGCAGAGTGGACTCCCCCTTCCTGGCAAGGGCTGAGTCACCAGGACGCACCCGCGCCTGGGCTAGGCGACTGCTGCATTCTTACCAGCTTACCTGGGCCTGCGGCATGGGCCTCGCCCTCCTCCAAGGTGGGGGTGGGGGGGCGTTGTCTCCAGGGCAGCCCCCGCCTTCTCTCCCTGTCCTCTCTGGCATGTAGGGCCCCCTCCCCAACCACAGACCCTAGCGATGCACCCCTTCTCAATCTCTATCCCGGCCCCTAAACTCTGGATCAGCCCAGTCCCTCATCCTTACTGTAAGTTGCCTGCTTGAGCTCCAAGTCTGAGGAATCTGGCCCAGTCCTAATGAATATGTTTGGTTTGTTGGAAATGTATAATACGCTTTAAATGGAAACCCACACGCCGTTTTACAGGTGCGCTCAGTTGGTGAAAATTCAGTAAGGTGAACGTTTAAGGTACATGCGGTTTTTTTCTATGCCTATTATGCTTGAATAAAAAACTTAAAAAATCAATGTTCCAGGGCAGAGCACAGTATGATGTGAGGGCCAGGTGGTGGGCCTCTGCATGGCATGGGACTACAGTTCACATCCCAGCTCCACCATCCTCGTGTTTCCCTGAAGAAGTCTGTTCACTTCTCTGAGTCTCAGGAGGGATGAACATTGGGGCCCTCGGTAGGGAAATCAATCCTTTTACTGTTACCCAGGGCCAGGACTAGGGTAAGGTAAATGGGGCCCTTGGCTAGGGTGCAAAATTTAGAAGGGTGCTGAGGTAAATAACGTTTTAATCCAATATTTTAGTATTTAAAAAAATCAGCAAATCACAGCCCTGCCAGCCAGTTTTCTATTTTTATAAATAAAGTTTTACTGAAACCAGGGCTGGGCTTAGAGTGAAGCCAATGAGACAGGATTATGCAAGTGCAGGGTTAGATCCTGTGTTGATTTAAAGTATTGGCAATTTGTGCATTGTGGATTTTTTGCATTAATTTTGATTCTTAGACATATTGCGGGAAAATATTGTTTATCTTCATTACTGAGTTTTCTGATGCCGCTTTAAGTTGTGCACCTGAGCCAAGCGCCTTGATCACTCTAGGCCTGGTACAAAACTTCCTGAAGCACCTGGCTAGGACCCCAGGGCAAATGAGCAGAGGTTGAACTTGCCCCTTCCACCCACTGACACACAACACCAGGTGGGCTCTGCTTCCCAGCCCAGGCCTAGCTTTCCTGGGGCCCACTGATCAGTTTGGGAGTAAATTGCCAAGTCCTTACAATGGCCTCCAGCCTCCCTTAGATGGGTTCTTCCTACCTTCGCCCGCATCTCTCTCCCAGCCTCGTTGCTTCCTGGGTTTATTTTTCTACTTGCCTCATGGCTGCCTCAGGGCCTTTGCTCTTGCTCTTCCTTCTGCTCAGAATGTGCTTCTCCTAGACCTTCCTATGGCCCCCTTCCTCATCTCTGCTTTTCTTCTGCTTGCATCACCTCAGAGAGGCCATCCCGGAACCCTCACTGTCCCCTCACACCACTTTATTCTTCTTCAGAGGCCTTTCCACCCTGTTTTCTATTACATTTGCTTGTTTATTGGCAGAAGGAAGCTCCAGAAGAGAGGGGACTCTGTCTTGTCTGCTGGTGTATTCCCTAGAATTGTGTCTGCCCCAGACAGCTCAGTAGATGGTTCTAGTTTCACAAGAGGCCTGAGGGGGAAGGAGCTAATGCAAGTCACACAGTGAGTGAGTGAGTGACAAAATCATACTAAATCCCAGGTTTCCAGACTCCCAAACCAGTGCTCTTTCCAGCCTCCTGGAAGCCAATCTGAAGAGTCTACAAAGCCTCCCCAGAGCCCTCCAGAGTGACAGTGACCCTGCACAGCGCTCTCTTACAGTCCTGTGCTCACAATGCACTCCCAAGCCTGACCCGGCTCCAGCCCCTGGTGTCCACCCCCTTCCCAGTGTCCAGCAGGCGTGCACGATTCTTCCTGGCTTCCTGTCTCTGGCACAGGGCCAGTCAGGAGCGGCTGGACTGGGTTCCACAGCTGGACCACAGTTGTGGTCTTTGCCATGCCTGGGAGAGTGGGAGACAGGGACATTATGGCACAACCTCCCAGGAGAGGGCTGTGTAGAAGGGGGTGTGTTTGTGTGTAGTGGCGGAGGCTGCTGGATCGGAACTGAGAACCTCCAGCTCCCCTCCTTGACTCCCTCCCTTAGGGGCACCGTGTGGGGAATGGGGCTCTACTCCCCCTCTTCCTGAAAGAAATGGCGTGGGAAGGAATAAGGGGAGCTCAGCCCCCAGGACTGATTCTATCCCTCTCTTCTAATTCTTGGTGGTATGTCACATTCAGTAAACATGAGTTGGGTATGTTCTCTAGGCCAGCCCCTTGCTAGACATTTCTAGATTTGTTTTGCTTCCTTGAAAATCCACACGGTCTGGATAGTTATTATACGCATTTTACAGATGAGGAAACTGAGGCCCAGGTACAGTGACTTGCTTGTGGCCACACAACTAGCAGTAGATGTAGCTGGGACTTGTGCCATATTTTCTGAGGCCACGTGCAGCGCTCATTCCAATTCCTGACACAGCCTTTAGCACATGGAGGGAACTGTGATATTCTTCCTAAGATGTCACCACCTCCATGCTGCTTGCTGAACATGTAGACATGGTGCTCTGCAACCCACCCCTGTCTCATTGGTAACTGGGGATACCAGGCACGTGGCAGAGTAGAAATGAGTTGGTTAGGTGTCGTGGAGCCCCACCCAATCTGCAGCCTGGTTCAGTCACTTCTACTTAGCTATGTGATCTTGGGCAAATCACTTGAACTTTCTGCATTGCCCGTTCTGGAAGGAGAGTTCCTACCTCACAACTGGGGGAGAGATTAAGTGAGCGCCTGGTACAATGTGGCTATCTCTCGGTAAATGTTAACTGTCTTGCCCATACTTCCCTCCTCAGTGCTGGCCCAGCAGCAGGGGAGGGGAGCTTCCGAGGGCACCATGTTTATGGTTCTGAGTATTACGCAGAGCTTCCCATGCGACAGGCACAACAAACAGCGCTTTGCATTAATTCACCAAATCAATATTCACAATAGTAAATGTCGATTAATATTAAATACCGACATTTCTCCCGTTTCACAGATGAGGAAACCAAAACACAGAGAGGTTATGCACCTTGCTCCAGCCCCACCACCCACCTGGTATCTCCTGGGAGAAAGAAG